TGGTAAGTCTATTTTGAGCTTTTTGAGGAACCTCCATACTGCTTTCCACAATGGTTGAACTAATTTACATTCCCACCAGCAGTGTAGAAGGGTTCCCCTTTCTCCACAATCTCGCCAACATTTGTTGTTGTTTGTCTTTTGGATGGTAGCCATCCTGGTGTGAGGTGATATCTCATTGTGGTTTTAATTTGCATTTCTCTGATAACTAGTAAGTTTACATTTTCTATTGAAGCCATTTAGGTTCACCTAGCAATTTGAACTTAAAAACTGAGACATCATGCTAATTTCAAGGAACAGCATAGGTTGGCTACATTAGCAAAAACAAACTCAGTGGCATGGGAAGAAAAATGAAAAACAGTTTTTGAATGCTGGCATGTGGGACCAGAATCCAAAAACTGGAAAGCAAATAGATAAGTCTATAGTATATCTTTAGCAGCAGTTTATAATTACCTCTCTTCAAGGTCTGTTTTAAGTGGACTTGTAATAGTAGCTTAAAAAGTAAACTAGCAAGGGATCCAGTTGTTCAGACATGGCAGCAGAAGAAGGCAGAGCTGCTGTCTGGGAACGGAGCTCATCTAGCAGAGCAGGCTCCAGTGCCTCTGTCCTCAGGTCTTGTCGACCATGGGAAGCCTTTGATTACACAGAGTTGTCTGTAGACAGCATTATATCACTTAGCTCTTGAGTAACAAATTACCCCAAAATTTGTGGCTAAGACAACATTATTTCACAGTTTCTGTGGGACAGGAATCCAGGGGCAGCTTAGCTGGTCCTCTGGGTCCTGGTCTTTTAGAGAGAGCAGTCATTTCAAGGCTCAGTGAGAAGGATCCACTTTCTAGCTCACACAGTCATCAGCTGGATTCAGTTCCTTGTGGCTGGTCGCACTGAGGCATCTGCTTCTTGCACACGTTTGGCCGGAAGTCTCCCTCAGTTCCTCACCATGTGGGCCTTCCCATTGAAAATCTCACAGTGTGGTACCTTGCTTCAAGAGCAAGAGAGACAGTAAGAGAGAAAGAATGCTAGCAAGAAGGAAGTCAGTCTTTCGCAACATAATCATAGAAGTGACATCCCATCACTTTTGCTCTATTCTACTCATCAGAAGCGAGAAACTAGGTCCTCCACTGTCAAGGGGAGGAGAATACATGAGGCGCACATAAAAGGAGGTGGGGATCACTGGAGCCAGGTCAGAAAGTGCCTACCACAGCATGATGTCAGTATATTTTTGCCATGTCTGAATGCCAGACCCGTAGTGAATTGTGATGTCAATATTCTGCAAATTTACAGGGCTGAATACAGCTTTTGGAAGTACTGATTTGGGGGCATGCATGGAGTCCCCTTTGTGTATCACACTGGCTGATAAGTGCTGAACTGTGCTCACCTGAGCCCCCCAGGAGACCAAGGAAATTGGCTTTCAGAAAGGCTGAAGTCCAGGGCCCTGTCTGAGGTCATGGAACAGAGTGAAGACAAGCAGCCCTTGCGGCCTTATTAGCATGATATTCTAAACACAGAGCCAGAGGGCCCCCAGATTACATTTCATTGTATGTTGTAAGATTTTGATTGGTACTTTGCAGATCATTAGGGGGAAAGGACCCTATGGATTGATTATAAAGTTGCTGTTAAGATCATGGAATGAGAGGGTATGCTTGTTTTAATGGTCCCCATACTTCCATTCTCAGCTTCCTGACTCCAGATGTACATTTTCATCAGTAAACTGAGTAAAGGGATATGAATTTGGATTATATGATGAACGTTTAAGACATGAGTTGAATTTTTCATCTTAATTTGACAAATTCTATTAGAAAACCCACACATCTTTCTAGGAAAAGTTCAGGTTTAGGTTTCCTTCACCTGTTGCCAGTGATTCCCTTTTTAGTTGCTAAAGCTCCACTCTGGGAACTTAAGGATGAAATGTTAATTCTTTTGTCACAAATGGTATTGGCTGCTGGAGAACCTATAAAGCCTTGATAAAGTTCCCTCTGAGACCCATGTCTGGGACACCGTCACACTCCGGGACACACTACCTCCTGGCCAAGCTGTGCCGGCAGTGGGCACAGATGCGTTATCCCTCCCGGTGCCCTACACCGTGATTCACGTGCCTGACACCCCCAGCTGGGACGAGCACAGCACAGCGACGGCACCTGGCGGTCTCACACACCTTTGCCTCCACTGCACAGGGAACGTGGCACCTGTCGGGATTTTAAAAGCATTGGAGTGGACGGATGGTGCTGTGGATAAAGATATTGTTGTTCATTATCCAGTGGTGTGTGTCCCTAGAATCAGGGGGACTAACATTACCCACCTTCTGACAAAACCTAGGCATGTTTTCAGCTTTTAGTCTATGTACATCTTCAACTCTTTTGTTCATAATTGATCAGGAGAGGATTTTCTTTATAAAATTACCTATGTGAATGTTAGATTTTTGAATTCCTTTCTTCTTTTGTTTTTAATGCTCATTCCTCTGCTTTTTGTTTACTTGAAACCAGTAAAGCACTTCTATATGACCTTATATCCTCAAATATTACTAATAACATCCTAAGTTTTTTGTAAGTGGTGTAAAGGCATCCTACATTTCTGTAGGGTTAAGAAACCTGGACTATCCCATGGAATAGAGCCACACTTTCACTTTTTTAAACCTTGCATAAAGCATTGTTTTGCTGATAGGTGGGAAGAGTTTTTGTGCTTTTGGGTTTTATTTTGGTTTTTCAATGTAGTAAAGAGGGAAGCCCTAGTTATACTGACCTACCAAGGCACACCCTCTTAGGTTCGCTATAAAGGTTTAAAGTTATTTCATGTGTTCAGGTCACAGATTGTAATCTGCACTGCATACTCAACATTATATGTTTATATTCATTGTTCATCCATTTTTCTAAGGATTTGAGTATAACAGTCAAACAGTATCATGAGGTGTCAGTCATGTTATTATTGTTACAGCTTTTCTGGTGATAGGAGGTGAGGATGTAGTGGAGAATTTGATGGGGAAGAGAGGTCTTTATTTTTTATGTAAGTACATTTTATATTAACTCACAGAATGTAGCTCAAACAGTAGCTAAGGCTAATTGTCCTTCTCCAAGAGCTGGTGAGAGACTCTCTTCAGTTTTCCCTGTGCAGCTTATCGGTTGTTGCTGTTTAGTTATCCCAGTGTGCCCTGCAGTGATTTTGATGTCCTGGATTTTTTTTACTTTTCCTGCATATAAACCTGAAAGCCCTGTACTAACTCCAAGAAGTTCTCCTGCTGAAACATTTGATCTTACCTTGTGCCTGTTGTCCTGCAGGTTCATCGGTAAAATCAGTTCCTCATGCGGCAAATCAAGTTCACCAGGTTTATAGTGCATTCATCTCCACTCAAAAACCCATAGAACAGCAGTGTAAATATAACATGTCACTTTTCTCACACCACCTTTCATGAATCAGACATAAAGTCTCTCAAGAACCCATGGTTTTTCTAATGAACTGGAGTTACCTATGTATACTCTACTTGTGACATGCACATTTGCAATTGGGGGCCACAGGAAGGACACCATTTCCTGGATCAAACCACAGAGTGCAAATATTGTGCCCTAAATAACACACTAGTTACTGTAAATGTCAGTAGAGGGAGTTTTCCTGACTTTGATTTAATGAAAGCCTACAGCCAAGCCAAGCTGTTAGCACTTCTTAACTGCTTGTCAGAGTGAACAGGGGAGATGGGGAGGGCCAAAAACATCTTTTCTGTATACTTTTGTCTTAGAATTAAGAGTTTTCAACAGGTGTTGAATAATGGCACTAGGGGTCCTTTACAGCTTGATGTCTTTTAGGTGATGAATTTGTAAGTTCTCCAGGACATGGATCGGAGTTACATGAGGAGCCTCATGTAGAGTTAGTTTGGAATTTTCATCTTGAATCCTCTCACCTGCAAAATAAACGTTTTAGTTTTCTGGGCTCCCCACGAGGAATAACAAAAGATAAAGGAGCGAGAAGGCACATTGAACAGCGGTCCTCTCTTTGTCACTGAGGGTATTACCAAACTAATTGTAAGCCATGTGTGTTTTGATTGATGTCATCTGCTTTTTCTGAACAAAGAAACCACTTGAAGCAAACACACAGGGAGGAAAGTATGCAGCGCTCATTTCTGTGATTTTTGTCATTTCTAGAATGCGTTGGCAAACATATGTGATTGCTAAGGGTCTTTACCACCCTTGGCTATCCCTTTGACATTATGCTGTGTGCACTGAGGGGAGATAATCTTTCAAATGCAGGGAGAGTTTACAGTCTTATTACCTTGAGGAGGGGAAGAAAGTTTCTTCCTCAAATGATTTATAACTTGAAACATGTTGCCATGTTTTGGTAAGCCCACTTTATTAATTCCATCCTTCTCTGTGGCAAATTTTTAAAAATAAATGTACCATTGCAACATAGTATTTTCTCAATAGCATATTGTACTTATAATAGCATGATGGAAGTTGCTGGGCTTGGTTTAGTCATAGGGAACACGGAGCCAAGTTCTGAGTGAACCCTCTAATTGAATTACCTGTGAAGCACTGACAGACGGGCTTTCAGGACAAAGTTTTGCCTTCCCCAGCAGAAACAGCCGTGTTTATGTTGGCCTTGTGGCTATCTGTTACTGGATTTGCCAGCACTTTTACCTTAGGCTCTGCGGTGGCCCTTTCCCTGCAGTGGAGAAGGAGTAGCTCTATGAAAGCGGAGCCTCAAGCATTACCTTCTTCTGGAGAAAACTCATAGCAGATCAAGTTATATTAAATAAAAAAGCCACTGAAATAAAAATCCAAAGTATTTTTATTTTTCTATGGATTACCAACATTCTTGCATGAGTCTTTCTTAGGAAAGTAGCTCTTTCTATAGCATTCTTTGTCAATCTGAAAGTATTTTTGTTTTAACTTCCGGGAAGAATTGTTCAAGAAAGAATTTATCATGACCATTTGCATTTGNTCTCTCTCTCTCTCTCTCTCTCTCTCTCTCTCTCTCTCTCTCTCTCTCTCTTGTCCTCCGTTTTGTCTTACCCGCAGCCTCAGCAATCCCCGATAATGGAAGGAGGTCCTGCCTAAAGCTCAAAGTCTTTGTGAGACCGACAAGTAAGTTCCCTAGAATGAGCTTCCGAGGGTGGCTTCACTGCGCATGCTTTACTGTGTGGTCTGGTTCACAGCGGTGGAACCTTTTTTTACTGTTAAACCCTGTGTGGTATCTGTTTTGTATATCAACATCCATGTTTTGGTTTTCATCGTATTTTTTCTCATCATTCTTCACGATGCCTTTAAGTTCACGGCAGTTGCTAACTTGTTGTTTCTTAGACTGTTGTACGTGCACAGCAAATGGGAACGATGCTGGCATTTGGATACATGCCATTGATTATAGAACTCTCTCTACATAAGTAAAAGGAAAAAATAGAAAGAAAAAAAGAAATGGGAGTTTAAGGGTATCTTCACTAACATATTTGGCTGTTATCTCTATTTTTGTTATAGATAGCTGTATGAAAACTATAGGTGTTCATGATCGTGTTTTCGATGTTAACGACAAAGTAGAAAATTCATTAGAACCAGCAGGTTAGTATGCTTAGAGAATCTCTTTTAACAAATGCATCTCTCTCTGGTGCTTCAGTACTTTTTTTTCCTTTCTTCCTCTCTGCACGTTTGCATGTTATAGTTTCTTTGCTTCTGCTCATTGCTAGCAATGCTAATATTACTTATATTCTACCTCATTCCTCCAGTATCTATGTGTAATGCATGTTAGATAAAATGACTTTTCTTTTTTTGGACATGGGTTGGATATAATGCAGTATCCTAATATAGAAGCCCCATCAGAATGCTAAAATCTCACTACTTTTTATCATATCCTCTGAGCATGCTGGTGAATCCTGTGAATATTAATGGATCTGTTTTCATAAAAGTCAGAAAAAGTTTCATATATGCTTATAAAATTATTTTATATGATGTCCAAATCTATGAACAAGACTTGCACAAAATAGCAGCTAATTTAGTTTTCTCTAGAAATTCACATGCATCATTGATCTAAAGAACTTTATTAATTGTGCTGTCACTGTCAGTGGCAGTTGGCCTGACGTATCATCATGTGGCTTGCTAACACCACAGATTCACATACCTGCTGCTTCCACAAATGTATCAGTAGTCTGTGGGTTTCTTGATTACTGAGGCAAAATAAGTATTAAGGATAAATAGGCTTTTTCCTACTACTAGTGTCCCCACACAAGCACTTATTGAAGCATTCACACTATATCACACTGGATATTGTAAACTATCCATTTGGAATTCAATCTGGCTGTCGGTGCAGCTGGACTGAGTGCCCCCATCTCCTCGCTATCCCCTGGTTTCCTCTCCTTTCCCTACTTACCCAAGATCTCATCTCCTGTGAGCATCTCATAGCTTAAGGGAAATAAAATCATTTCTGCTCCACAAAAGGTGTGAGTCCCCCTTATGTAAACAAATTACCTTCCCCCCATTTATTTGCAGTGGGACTTCTCTTTCTTATTCTTATTCTTATTCTTATGGTCCTGGAAATTAAAGGCTGTGAGGTCTACTTGATACTTTGAGTAGTGTTACTGGGGCATACAGTCAGTGAGCCTCAGGGAGACTTAGCCTGCGTAGCTGAGCTGCCTCAGGACAGACAATAGCTTTCACACCCTCACTAACAGGAGAGTTAGGTTTTCCCCCCAAGCATTCTTATTTTTCTAAGGCAGGCATCTTACCCAGAGCGCTAATGAGAAGTGTGTACTGTAAGCTCTCAGAGGCCTTAGTGACTCCCAAGGGATCAGTTAGCTACTTATGAATGAGTGCTGACATGGAGACATTTTAATTGTGTCCAGGAAACCTGGAAGCATGACTGTGGCTTTTCAAGGTACCAGACTCCTCCTACACAAGCTCTAGGACTTTCGCTGTTAATAAGATCTGTGAGTCAGATGGGATCTCTTTTAAGACCACAGAGGCTAGCTAGGCTGTACTCTTCCTTTTATAACTGAGACTTGCCCGGGCCACACAGCTAGTTAGAGACAGATCCAGGTTTAATATTCAGATCTCTCAACTCCCATGTCAATGTTCTATAAAAGGATTCTCTTACTGTTACTAGACATGTAGATGTTTATAGAACGTGACTCTTCTTGGATTTGTTAATAAGTCATATGTAGAATGACCAGCAGAGTTAGGCATGTTACAAACATAAGTTATCCTGAATTAAGAGTTTTTGATGCACATTGTTGCAAAATCTGGCATATCTTTCCAGTGATGTTTTTTCCAGATAAACTGAAGTGCATGTCAAGAAAGCAAGAGGCTGTTTAGACACAGATTGCATATTTTTCTCTGGTAATGAAGAGGCACAGTGAAGACTATTCTGACATTAGGAAAATTACCTTTGAATTCAACTAATGATAAAATGCAAGCTATTAAGATGTATTCATACATGAGCATATTTAATTGTCTTTTGGGAAGCAGGCTTTTTTTCACTGAGCATTTAAAATCCACGGTGGCCCCCTAATCTATGCACATGTAACCGATGGAAGTTTGCAAAAGTTTGATGGAAAGGTGTATGTGTTGCAGAGTGGACATATAGTTGTGCATGGAGGAAAAGCTCTTTCAGTCAGTCATGATTATATTTAAGGGCTTTCTAGTGAGCATCTTCACTAAAAAAGACAAGGCTGACCTATGATCCCTGGCTGTACAAATGCAATAGTAAATATGAATATCTTATTCCATAGGAAATTCAGTCAGACTTGTGGTTCTGCACCACTGTTTTGAATGGTTTCTGTGTGTAGACCCAGACTTTATGAATCCAGCAAGCCTCAAAGGATCCCACTGCATGCTCTCAGTGATGTGTACTAATTCACCTGTCTCTGGAATGTATTTGTCTTTTTTGTTTGCTTACACATCCTGTCTGCCAGTTTTCTATCATCAGGGATACAGGATGATCTCAGGCAGACATGTGACATAATATGCTCCAGAATATTGCTAGTGTTGAGCATTGAAACCCTTGTGTAGTGCAATCCTATAGCCAGGAAACAAGACTTGATTTGGCTTCTACTTGATTTGGCTTCTGAAGAAGAATATTTTCTTCTTCTAACCCACATTGACTGTTACAAGTGTTAGAAATGTTCATGTTTAGGCGTAATTTCTATTGGGATAGACCTTGCTTTTGAATTCCTTCTCTGAATTCTGAAACTATACAGATTTACCCAAATGACAGCCAGTTTCTCATTTTGCTTCTCAGGGGCGATAGAGTCTCCTAGCTTTGAGGTCCTGTTTAGTCAAACAATGCTTTGTAGAATCCTGAGCCAGGACCAGCATGTTGCAGGGAGAAGAACCCACTGTACCCTAATGGGACAGATTTTTCCCTTTGAGGGCAAGACAGGACTTACTGGTTGCTTAGAAAAGACCAAGTTCCAAAAATCATCCATGATTAGAGGACTGAAAGGCGCATTTAGTCTCATACATTACTTACTTGAAAAACAGAACTTTCCTCTCACCATCTTGTGAGGTTACTTCACCCTGACTTGTGCTGCATGCCTGGAGCAGTGGATCACACTTGCTGAGCACACAGGAAGTGGGAGGGCCCCAGAGGGTGGGACCCCTGCAAGCTCACACCGAGGGCCAGAGTGTTACTTGGGCATCTTTTGTTAGTACACTTGTGAACTTTACAAGGAAGAGGACTGGGTTATATGTTTGTAAAAATAAGATGGAGAAGAACCCAACAGCTAATGCAATTTCAGGTGTATAAGTATAGGTGGTATTTCAAAATGAACTCTGGAATCCTCAGTTTATGGTTCTTTCTCAGTTAAGCCTGCAGTACTCTGTTGTTCTGATTGACAGCATATTGGTGCTCTTAAGAAAGTGATGTGGATTTTAATTTCAGGGCTATTAGGGCATTTACTTCTGCCTCTTGTTAACTACAAATTTAATACATTTGCAAGACTGAAAAAGAGCAAGGAGAAGAATGCACAATTCTTCTATATCATTTGAGGCTCTACATCTCCCTCTGCATCCGTTTAACTTCCCATTCTTGCTTCCTAACCTTTTCTAGTCTTCTAAGCTAATAGCCAGTCCATGCAGGTTTGCTAAGGTCCAAGAGAAGGGGGCAAACTTGACACAGGCATGCAGCAGCTTCTACATGAGGGCAGGCTGAGATGATAACAGTCTATTCCAGGGGCAGAATTCTCCACACAGAGAAGCTGTATTTCTTCATCTTGGGAACAAATGTGATTAACAGAAATAGCCCACATGCTGTGAACCTGAAAAATGGTCACTTTAGGACGAATAATAGGGAATGTGACTCTGCCTAGTGAAGAAAAAGCATCATTTTGACAGGTAGTGTGGCATGAATATATAAACAAGTTTAAAATAATAGGTAGTTAATCCACTAAGGGGTTTGATGTGGGTCATTCAGAGAGATGTTTAGGGATTATCCTTTGAGAGCTACAAAACTGAGAACAACCACTAGAGTCTCACTTGTTCCCCTTCTGTCTGATTGACCACTGAGCGAATCTAAAGTGACAATCACTGAGCTCTAAGAGGAAGGTCCCCTGATTCTGAAACACAGTCTCCCACAGAATTCCACTGTTGGCCTCAAGAACGTGTAGTTCAGAGATCACGTTAGACTGAAGCACAAGTTAGGCCAGGTGAAAGGAACGAGGCAGGCAACACTGGAGCGCATAGTACAGCTCATAGGCAAGGCTCCAGTCTATCTTTGGGTGCTAATTGCTACAAAGTTCCTGGTGGAAGCTAAGCCTGTTAATCATGCAGATCCAGGAAGGCTACCCAAAGCCAGAGGCAGCTTGGTAGAACGCTGTATAGCTAAATAAAAGGAGCTTACCTCACTTAATCCATTTTCTTTAGAGGAAAATTTGCATCCATGCTGATAATTTATGTGCCAAGCTTCAGCCTGATAAAAATAAAAATAGTCAAGTTCAAGTAATTTAATCCTGGAGATACAGGGTTTGTAATGGAAATAGCACCATAATTGATTCCTAATTGTAGGCAAACCAGTGGGCACTGAGGTTTAGTGGGCATTATATATAATTTAAAATGCTGTTGCTTTGGCATTTAATTTTTTGTCTTTGAAAATCCATCTCGGCATCCAACAGCCAGGCATCTAACACTAACGCTATAAAACTGCTAGAAAGAGGAAACTGGGCGGTTAACCACTAATACGTCGACGTAACTGCACCCAGCCCCTGCCCTTCCAGACATGTTTTTCTGTGGCATCTTGGGTTGAAAAGGTACATTTAGACATCTCGAGTTTGCGCAAGGTGCATCTGACAGCCAGCAAACAGAAGTAGCTCACATGTCAAAGGTGACAGTGTGCACAGTTTTTCCCTTCAGTTTTTAAGCAAAGTATTAATATTGCTGGGATAGTCCAATTTTCTCTGCCTCCTTTGTTTGCTGTAAATAATGAGTGATTATGCAGACATGAAAGTCAATGGTGGCACAAGGTTCATTACCCTACTTTGCAGAGGGTGGCGAGGTCTGTGAACAGCAGGCTGCTGCAAGAGAGTTATTAAAGATGTGAGATCTCACTGGGATGTGTGCTTTCTGTTTGAACAGATGACACCGTACATGAGTCAGCCGAGCCATCCCGCGGCGAGAACGCGGCACAAACACCAAGGATACCCAGCCGCCTTTTGGCAATCCTACTGTTCCTCCTGGCGATGCTTTTGACATTATAGCACAGTCTCCTCCCGTCACCTGTCACAGAAAACATCAGGGTCTTGGAACACCAGAGATCCACCTAACTGCTCATCCTAAGAAGGGACTTGTTATTGGTTTTTTGGCAGATGTCAGATTTTTGTTTGTTTCTTTCAGCCTGAATTCTAAGCAACAACTTGGGGCCAGGAGGGGCTAACGAACGTGGTTGCTGCCTCCCTCACTACCGCCCCCCACCCCCAGCCCCTGCCCCTGACTTCTCTCACCCTTTCCAAATTAAATGGACACCAGATGAAAAAGCCAAATTGTAGGGACACCAGTGGTCGTCAGCTCCCGTGCAGTCTCCTCTAAGCGCTCACCACCGGTACTGCCCTGGGTCTGCGGTATACGGGCCGGGAAGAATAGTGGCAGCTGCAGCCAGTGACGGCGAGGCCCAGGAGGGTTTCACTCTCCCACACGATATTTATGCCTCTCATTCAGGACTGTAAGATGATCGTGCGGGGCATCGTGTCACCATGACAAGCCCAGAGGGGAGGTATTAGGAATAGATATAATATTACACCATTTCCTCTAGGAGTATATAAATGAACAGGCTTCTAAAAGGTTGAGACACTGTTTTTTTAGAGATGACTGTCTTAAAGCATTCTTGACAGCAAAACTTGTGCTCCGTAAAAGAAGCCTTTTTTCTATGAGGTGGGTCAGGTGCTGGATTGCTAGCACAGAGCAAGTGTGAAAACAGAAAACGAGGTGTGGTGGGGGCATATATGTGTGAGTGCCTCTAATTGTTTTGGTGACTGGGCAGTGCACACCAGGGTTTTTGGGTTTTTTTTCCTTTGAATACAGATCACCATGGTGCTACAACTTTTTTTCCTTTTTTTTTTTTATTTTTAGAAATTTAAAAGAGGCATTTTTATGAATAAAGTGACCTTCCCCAAGGCTGACAAGCCAGGGTTGATGAGTGTATAATGGAATATTCGGATACTCCTCTGGGGGCCAGTGTGTACCAAGGAAAGGATGTCAGTGGCCAGAGGAGATGTGATTTGGCTTTGCTGGGGTGCCAGTGTGCTGTGGCCTTTCCGACTCCCACCCTAGTACCCGCGTTCTGCTCCACACTCCGTGACTAGAGGAGATGTGATTTGGCTTTGCTGGGGTGCCAGTGTGCTGTGGCCTTTCCGACTCCCACCCTAGTACCCGCGTTCTGCTCCACACTCCGTGACTACAGGGGCTCAGACACAAGCCCCTGTCATCAAGAGAGTCAGTCAGCACTACTTGGGAGGGCTAAAGGGAAATTTGGAATAAAATTTCCAAAGTTTGAAATAAAAAAAAATTCAAGCATTGATTTTATATTCTTTCCCTTTCTGACACAGCCTGAAGCGTAGGGGGAACGTGTTTATCTGTGGGAGATAAACAAGGTGGAGTCCCAAAGACTTTAACAAAATATTTTTTTAAAAATCCACTAGAATAGAAAATACATTATTTAGATATACTTTATGCTGAGAGTGAGTATATATGCTTGTCCTATTTAAACTTGTGAGAAAAAGTGGTATCCCTTGATACATTTAGAAATATTGGGGCTATCTTGTTTCATTGTTGGGGTGGGACGGAAGGAGAATAAACACAGAAGGACCCTGTTTAAGAAATCTTAGCATGGCCAATAAGGGATGTTTCCAGTTGATTACCAGGAAATGCAAGCCTTGGGGGTTTTTAGTGGTAAAGCTGTCATGAACTTTGAACTCCAAAGCCTAGACAGGGAACAGTGTCAGACCAATGGAGAAGAAGCCTAGCCTTTTTTGCTATTGTACCACATGTCAATAGAAACCATGCCTTTCAAAACAAAACAAAATATAAATGCAATGATCATGTGAGATGTGAAAATTTAGAAGCACTCCAGCAAAATAGGGATTTTTTTATATATTTGGTTTTTTTAAATGTATATGTAAGAAAAGGGGGGGGGCTCATACTATGGACACACTTCATGAATGGGAATATGCTAAGAATTGTGAATAGTTCTGAATTAGAAAAATATGTGAATGAAAGGCAGCTGTAAAGGTCCTACACCCTGGAGAGGTGTACACATGTTGAAATGCAATCTGGGCTTACCCCGATCCGTTTGGAGTGGATGTCCCTGCTGGGCCTGCTCACACTTGGGACCAGCCTCGCAGATACAGCCAGTCCTGTTCCCTCAGCCATCAGAACTTCTCTGGAGTGACAGAGCCTTATCACAGAAGGCAGCCACCATTTCACTGAAACAAACGTTCACAGCATTGGATTATTTTTTCCTTTAACTATTTATATGCTCAGTACTCTAAGTAACAGCCAGTAATGCTTCTTTTATCAACAGTTACAGGCTTGTTGGTCCACCGGGATTTGGATAGGGCAAGGGGAAGATACCTTCTAAAATGGATCCATAGTCAGAACCCAAATAATACTGCATGTTCTATAACTGTAAGGAAATCAAATGATCCTGTAATAATTCCAGTTAGTCATAACTACATTAGCAGTGCTAATTTCATTTTAGAAATGGTGACTTCTGTGATTTTTCTAGCATTTGTGTCTAACAAATGGTAAAATAATTACTCATGGCCCTCTCTGCCATTGCCTCTCATTTTTCACAGTGAAATTAGACCCCTTTACTTCACCATTGTGCCACTACAAACTTAAAAAGAAAAAAAAAAGCAAGACTATCCCCACCAGTAGACAATGTGCTTCTCTACCTATAAGTGATGTAATTGTAGGTAACACTAGCGGAGAAGTTTCCAAGAAGATGATTGGTATCAGACAGTTGTCATGTCATCAAAAAGTGCTGGTGGCCTGTTGCGGTGGTGTTACAACCCTCTGGGGGCTTAGAAGTATGTCAATGCAACTTTGTAGCAGCTTTTAATTTCAAAAACAATTCAGAAGTGTAAAGGGCAGTCTTAGCTGCCTCTCAGCCCCAGTTAGTCAAACCCCAGCGACCTTTGCCCCTGGTTACCAAGGGCTTTGCAACATAAAGCAGGGAAATAAGGATCTGTCTGTCTAGTGGATACCGTGTATCCTTTAATAGACAAGGTAACAGTTCGTGTTAGTTTAGACTATTGTTTTGTACTGTACTTTCTTGGGTGGCAGAGGAAAAAAAAAGTAAAACATTAAAAAAAACTGCAGTTCTTTAAATTCTGTATTATTAGCAACCTCTGTTGTATATAGTGTTTGATAATAAAATATTAATTTGATTCTTATGTCTTTTGTAAGTGAGAACAATAGTCTTTCAGGATACAAACCATGCATTGAGGCTGAGATGAGTCATAAATGGCTGAGACACGGCTCCATACAGGACTCACGTGTGATCATCACCCTCCCAATCCTCAAGACTCCATCATCCTGAGACCTGGAACAACATGACTTTTTGATCAATATTTTGTCCTCAATGTTTTCAAGGTCTGATGTTGGAGCCCTGTGGTGTTTCCCACCCTTATCCCCCACCACCCAGCATGTTGGTTTGATAAGGTTTGGAGCATTTAGCAACAGTTCTATACCTTGGTTTTCTGTTTGTGGTTGTTTTCATAGACTGTTTCAGTTTTCCCCAGGAAGTCTTTGCAGCCCACACGTGGGAAAAGTTGCAAACCAGTCCATTTAGGAAGGTTAAATGGGGGTTATTTCCCTCTGTGTCATTGTGGACAGGAGAGTCACACAGTACCTGTGGGCTTTCAGGGACTTAATTTTTCTCTGGTGCCTTAGCAATGGGCAGCAGCCATTTGTATTAGTTTCCTCCAAATTAGTAAAGCAGTTTAAACTCCTCTCCATTCATTGCTCTCAGAGCTGTGGTCACTAGTTTTTCTTTTGAAAACCACCTCCACTAACACCCCCCGTTTGCCTACCCTCCCCCCCTTTGTTTCTTATGTTTTACTCTCTCCCTCTGTTTTATTTTCCCTCAGAACCGTGAATGGGCAGGTCTGTCTCTGGTTTGGCATCACTGAGTTTTTCCCATGCATTTGCCCCAGAGCTGCTCGGATGTGAGACAAATCTCCCTACAATGGGCTTGCTCCCATTGTCTGTACAGTTTAATAGATGCTGGCATGTTGGAGGTTACCCATGAGTCAAAATCCGCTTTCCATGCTTACTCTTGACACCGCATTGAAGCCACTCATTGTGTGTGCGTCTGGGTGTGAAGTCCAGCTCCGTGTGGTCCTGTGCTCGTGCTGCCCTGCTTTGCAGTTCCTTTGCACTTACTCATCGAGTGCTGTTTTGAAATGCTGACATTATATAAACGTAAAAGAAAATGTAAAAAAAAAAGAAAGACACACACAAACAAATCCATACGATCTGTATTTGTATATACACGTGTCCGTACAAGTATACCTAAATAAAAATTAAAGATTTTCATCATTTTAATTGGAGCCCTCCTTCTACTTCTTTGTTCCTTGAATGACGCCTTTATTTCAGGGGATACTTGTACTCTGCTGATTTTTCAAAATCTTGTGGGCAGAAAGGAAAATACAACCTGCACAAGGGAAGGCCTGAGCTCAAAGAATGCAGGGTTAGAAACGGCCATGTATCTAAGCACATTCCAGTTATTTTGATGAGGAAATGGTGAGATTTCAGCCTTGTCTCTGTATTTGAGCCTTGACATACAGGCACCATGACAAGCCCTGCATCATAAAACAACTGTTAAATATGAGAGCTAAATACAAATTATGTTCTTTCACTTCACGTATTTTTTCACCCCATCTTTCAGAAAAAAATAATAATCACTTCAGTATAACCCCAAACCTCAATTCTCACATCAAGGAAATTAACATACCACTGTGTGACCTTGGACAAGTCACACAATATCTTTGAGACTCAGTTTCCTTATCAGTAAATAATGGGGTTGTATAAGTGATATGATTTTCTGAATATTGCCCTGGCTGGGCACTGCAAAGCCCATCTTGCATCTGAGGGATGTGAGTTTTTGTCTTTGATGATGACATTGCTATAAGCACGATCTGAGAATTTCGTCTGTAGTGAGAAAAAGCATCAGATACCTCTATAATAGACACCTAATGCATTTCAAGACTTGGCTTTAATTATAGCATGTTAACATTAAATTCATTGAAAGCTTTTTATTATATTATTGTTTGACAGGGCACTAAACATTAATTATAACTTACTGTAACCTTTTTTGCTAATGAAGAATGACAGCTTTATAGAATGAGGGACAACTCGTATTTTTTTTAAAAAAAAAAGGACTACCTGTGTACCTCTGTTATATTTTCAAACCAGAACAGCATTATGTTGTCATTATCATCGTCACCATCATCATCACAAGCATTTAAATGACCATGACATTGTGCTCAGTGCTGCGCAGAATGAAGTTAATGCTTACAATCTGTGCTTTCAAAGTTTACGACATAAGGCAGATATTATGTGTAAGCATGACATAGTAATGATACTATAAAGTAGACGAAATGTAAAGTTCAAGCATTTATATTATGCCTAAATAAGGGGAGATAGGTACTTTAACAAAAAACAAAAGTGAATGAAAAGGTTGGGAGTTTTAAGATGAAGCTTAGACTTAAAGGAGATCATTTTTGCAAATAGTCAAAATGGGGTCGGGAGCTTGTTACAAATTAGAAAACTTGGTGAGTTAAAAACCATTGGTTTTAAGAGAATTGTGAAATGTATGGAATAAGTTTTCATAGTAGCTACAAAGCTGACTATGGAAATGAGAAAACCCAGGACATCCGAGTGCCACTGTAGCAAATATATGAGGATATTGGCCCAGAGCAATCAGCCTAGTACCCTAAGGAAGCAGAGGAAGTGATGAAAAGATGTCAATTTCAGATTCTGGTTTGAAGAATAATAGAGCTGCTCCTGAAGCTAAGTATCTACACTAAACGATGAGATTTGCTGAATCTCAGCCAAGGGGAAGTCTACACAACACTCAGATCAGAGAAAAGGGATAAAGTGGAGAACATGCAAAATCAGGGTCTAGCATTTGAAGGGGATGGTGAATCTCTGATGAAGAGTCCAGTTCCCCATAGATGGCTGCACATTCCATTGTGAAAGAAGGCTGGACCGGAGATGGGACAATGAGCAGGGCTGCATAAACCGCACTGCGTTTGGTAACAAAACTTTTGAATGCTTGCGTCATCTAA